TTATATACATTTATGTCTCACTTTTTTGTTGGCAATTAATTGTATGCTTATACATTTATTGAGCATTTATTTATTTCTGTATTTATTTTTAAATATGGCAGAGTTGGTCCTTCATAGAGGTTATCTTAAAAGGTCTCAATCCCCAACGCTCTATATCGGACTTCATTCAGATGACCCTGTTTTGATGCAACTCCATCCCCTTCTCCACCATCGTAGCCAAGCTTCATCAGAGTTTCATTCCTCCCAGACAGCTGAAGACCACCACGATCACGATCACCACGTTCTGCCAGAGGTTACTTCCCAATGGGGAGTTTTCCTCTCCACTGTCGCTTCATGCTTGCTCATCATGGACAGCTTCTCTCAACCTGTGTTATCCAAACTGGACTTTCAGGTCCCTGAGTGAAGCTCTAGTATCAGCTCATGCAGTCCACTGGATCTCCCCATAAAGCTCAGCATATCGTCTCGCTAACCATCAGTCTACAGACTGACCACCATCATCCATCTCTACTCCATCACCAGTTTCAGGCCTGGGGGACAAACAGCCCTTTTATTTACTCCTGTTTATGCTTATTAAATAAAATTCAATGGTTCCTGCTGAGGTCTGAGCACCAAAAACTAAAGTAATTGTATCATTAAAATTCTTCTGTCTTTCTTTCCGTGTGAGTTTTTCAAATTTAAATGATGTTACAGACTCTGCATCACACTGATAACATCAAATCTGCACCACACATACTGTATATATCATGCTCTGAACTTCGATATCAATGCCTTTTTGCACCATGTTTTTATCTCCCACACTGTTAACATTTAATCACTGCTGCACCTTATGGAATGGAAATGTTCTGTAACCTGTACAAAACCAAATTTCATTTTGTATACATTCTGGGTATACAAAAGGACAATAAAAGTTTCCTGAGTCTGATCTCATTGGTTTGCAAAAGCATTTCTAAATTTCAGTTCTTTATATTTGATGAGATTACAACCAGAAGCTGCGATCAGTTTTTAGTCTTACCCTCGATTCTTAATTGGATGTGGCCTCAACCTAGCTACAGTATCACAAGGCCTTAAAGCGTATGTGTAGTTGTCTAAATGTGTAAATATAACTATAAAAAAAGTATTTTTTTTTATAGTTGTTCCTTGTTGTAACACCCTGCATAAATGTATCATCTAATGATTCATCTGTTAGAATAAAAGCTTAGAATGTATAAACTGTTTACAAAGTAGCAACCTTGTAAAAAGTATGAGTATAAATTCCTTATTTACAAGTATGAGTCTCACATAAATAGTACAACTTTATAACCCAAGACAAAGCTGTTAGATTCCTTACCAGATTGTGGTGGTAATGCACCTGAAAGGTACGCATATATTTTTCCTTCTGAAGCCTTAATTCTTTCTCCAATAATATTCTACCTACATGCAAAACAGCATACACAGAATCAGAAATTTTTAGGTAAAAATGTCTTTATGGAAAATAAATAGTACTGAAAGGTGCTACTGGAAGCTATAGGGCACATTTTGGTGGAGTCTGGAAGGAGAACGGTAGCAATGGGAGGGAGATGGTGAATAAATTGTTTTTGGAGGAACGTTAATGACTTGTAGCATATTCTAAGGATGATGGAGGAATCATTTAAGCCAGTTTGAAAAAGTGGTTTTCAGTATAGATGAGACGAGTGGATCTCAGAAAATGAGGTTTGTCTGGAGAGCGAGTGTGAATGCTGTAGACACCAGAGTTGCAAAAGGCAACCTTGTAAGGGTTTCCTGGAGATTAGGAGACGGAAAACTTGCTGAATCACAGCAGTTTTGGTGTGGCGACAGGTACGGGGTTTACCCTGGAAGCACAGAAATAAAAATTAATTAACAAAATGACACACAATTTTGCTTACCCTAACTGATAATTGTAAATGGAAATCAGATTAATTTTACTTGATCGGACTATCACTTTTAAGTGTCAGTGGTTGCAATCTTAATGTGTTTCTTCTCTAATATGCATCTCTTTCCTTTTCTAGGTCTATGTTTGTTTTGGTCAGAGTGCCCAAAACACGGGTGCAAACCACACAGACAACGGCGAAGAAGAGACGGCATTCTGAGCTCAGAGAGTAGCAGTGGGGAATCACTATGAGAACAGTGGGAAGCAGAGCACCACAGCCGGGACAAGGCGGACCGGTCATGGAGCTTCCTTCTGGAGCTAAGGAACCACAGTGGAAGCTTGGAGGACAGACAGTGTGTCAGAGTGGGGAGATAGGGCAGCTGAACAGGAGAGCAGAGGAGCACAGTGGCAGATTGGAGAAGGATGCCTGTGAAACATCGCCAGGACTGTGAGAGACTATAGCTGAGCAAGGCTAGCTATGGAGGCTAACTGTTGAGGGTTGAAGGAGCAAGGTGGAAAATTGGATGATTCCGCTGGGGGGGAAAAAACGGTGAAAGCAGAGGAAGGCTACTTCTGACTCGGACGAGACTAACTACTGGAGATGGAAAAATGACAGAGGAGGATAAGATGTGCCTGCAGGACAGAAGCAGACTGCTGGTTGGTTTCTGTCCTGGAGGTAGGACCACGAAACAGTAGTTCTAGGGCCAAATTAATACTGCTTTATTAACAGCCACTTAGTGACCTCTTAGGAGAATTTCCCCTTCATAATTGTCAACATTATTTTCTCTGTCTTCCATTTTGAGAGAAAAATACCTACGTTCAGTTGCTGATAGTGGCAACATATTTGCCTAAACTGCCCTGAAGCAGAATGACAGAAACAAGACATACAATCTGTGTCAGCAGGCCTTTTTAACACCAGGCCTTCTCAACCACCAACAACAGAAAAGGTTGGTAACATTTCTGGCTTAAGGACACAAAAATTAAAAGCAGGGATTTTTGGTTGGTTACAGGACAAACCCCTACATCCTGCAGCACCCAGTCAAAGGTGATCAGGAAGAAAATCTCCTAACAGCTGTGAGTCCCGCCGGCATTGCCACTCAGCACAGATCCATCAAGGAGAAAAACAACGCTCACATTCACACACACATCAGCCAGGGTTATGACAGCTGTAGTCTCAGAGCTTTTGAAGTTTCTGACAGCTTCCCTTTCCCATCAAATTCCTCCCTGTCCTACCAAACAAACACCATCATCAAAGCATGATTCTAACATGGCTATGCTTCATTTGGGCATAGCACATTCTGGGTTTCCTGTCCTACACATTTTGCAAATTATTATTCCAATTTGCACTATTCCAGGTGCAGATTGA